TGTACTTTGTTACTTTTACTTGAGTAAAGAAGTTTAATCAGTACTTCCACTTTTACCAGAGTATTTTTTTAACACAAGTATCTGTACTTTTACTCAAGTACGGAAAGTGAGTACTTTTGCCATCTCTGCTAATTGTAAGAAAAAATGACTGATCTAGATTTCTATTTTTTCCAGTGTGTGTGCAAGTGGAAAGAGGGTCGTGGCTAAAGGAAGCGAGGTAGGAGGGCAAAATAGGTTTAGCGCCACCGCAGCACGGGAGGGAGAATTACGTCCAGGAGCAAATGGATAATAATAGACCGGAGGAAAAAAAAAAAACATGTCTGGATCCTTCGGATCGTCGGCTGTTGGATCGATGCATTGATACAAAACGATTATTATTTACACCCCTACCCATTGAGGTAGTTTAAAGTCTATTTTTCGTACAAAACTAAAGGGATAAACAGGTATTGCCTATGGGTATGCTGGTCTGACGGGGTATGCTCATCTGACAGAACACAGGCCCTGCATTTAAGTTTTAACAATTATCGTATTTCTACATCTGGAATTTACAAACCTGAATACAACGACAAGAAAATAATTTGAACTGCAACTTTGGATATTGATATATTTTTGATATATTTTTGGCAAAGTCAAAATGGAAACCAGATTTTAGATTTACTGGCTAAACTCTTTTATTGACTTTAAGGTATAGTGGAGGATATTCGTAAATGTTTTGAAAAGAACTGCCGTTTCCACTTAAAAAAAATGCACATCCACTATGTCAGACTCACCACTGTTAAGTGAAAACGGGGGCGAGCACATAGGACGGCCTTACGTAAACATCACCAGAATGATTGACAATTAGGAGGACCACTTATTTTGATGATCCACTCGGAAAAAGAAAATCCTCCACTATATCTATAATATTAAACGCGTATCATTCAAATTTTATTACCCAATTATTTAACAAATAAAATGAATTCTACACTGCAAAAACGATCTAGAAATAAGTAAAAATTCCTTAATTTGAGTAGGTAAATGAATAGTTTGCCAATGGAATGAGTAATTTTACTCTCAAATAAGACAATGCAATTGTGTTTTCTTATTTTAAGTGTAAATTGTCTTGTTCCATTGGCAAAATGTTTCTTTTACCTCCTCAATTCAAGAACAAATGCATTTATTTTAAGAAAATATAGATTTAGATTTTCTGCAGTGTATTCTTATCAAAATATGGAAGAAGTTGATGCTGACAGG